CCAGCTGATCCCTGACATAGAGCACCCCCTGCCCCCCAAGCCTCTCCTGCCTGTCCTTGCTAAAGAGCCTGTACCCTTCCATTCTGACACTCCAGTCATAGGAGCCATCCCACCACGTTTCCACAATGCCAATGAGGTCACAGCCCCTCATGCGTGCACAGGCTTCCAGCTCCTCCTGCTTATTCCCCATGTTCCGTGCGTTCCCATAGAGGCATTTACGGTGGGCTCCTGATGAGGCTGGCTTGCAGACTGGAGCATCTAGGATTCTTCTGTTCTGCCTGCCAGGTGTTTTCCTGGTGAGCAGTGAATCTTTTCCAGGCTCTGGGTGTTTCTTGGTGTCCCTACCGGTTTTGCCCCCCTCCCCCCTCCAACCTAGTTTAAAGCCCTATCAATGAGCCCTGCCAAATGAGCCTTATGACCCAAACTATTCTATGATTCTGCTCTGAAGGAGTTGATTTGTATTAGTCTGCCATTCACTCAGTTGCTTTTCATCATCTTTCTGTCAACTGTCTTAAGAGGTTGAGTTCCAACACTGAATTTAGAGAGCTGAGCTATGGAATGTATGTAATTCATATGCGTGTTTGTTCAAAATCAACCAGCAAGAGGTAAATAATAGTGCAAGAGCAACAAGAAGCTTAATTTCATAAGAACAAGATTGTCCTTAATTGCAATGACTACCTGTTCAACGCAAAACTGATCCATCCTGGATGCTAGGTCTAGAACGACAAGCCTTCCACCTCTACTTGGAGCTTTTCTATCTGTGAATGTTTGTTTTAAAGCTGGTGCTCTTATGTAGGATTGTTGGAAGTGGGATAATATTGATACTGCTGCTTGTAGGGATCTGAGCTGAATAAATTTTATTCCTGAAAGTCTTCATTTGCAATTGGCAGGCAGGAATAGCACCACACCAAGTACAGTGAGGCATCTGGGCTTTTGCATGTCATAAGGGTGAATCACAAGCTGGATAAATTGATTGTTGTTAATGGGGAATTTATGTATTTCTGAGGCACTCTTTTTTTTTTTTTTTCTCATAAGAGGTATAATAGCTTACTGTATCCATTATGAATGCTGACTGTTTCTGTAAGTGAACAGGTAGGCATTGCTTTTGTTGACATGCACTAAATCCAGTGATTCTGGTGCTCTTCTGTTAGATTCCTTTGGAAGAGATTAATTGGTTTCTGGGACTCTAGCTGTGGATTAGCTAAGCCAGCTAGATGGTAGGCAGTGTCTTTGGCATCACTTTCAGCTGTGTTTTGACAGTTTATAAACTTTGTTTGCTTATGCTAGAAGTGGGATGAAATGTTCTTGCATACTTCAGGAACATGGACTTAATAGCTTGTAGAATTGCAATACTGCACGTTGGAAGAGACCCATAAGGACCATCAAGTCCAACTCCCTGCTCCTTGCAGGACTACTGAAAACTAAACCAGAAGATTATGAGCATTGTCCAGGTGCTCCTTGAACTGTCTGACAGGTTTGATGCTGTGTTCACTTCCCTGGGGAGTCTGTTCCAGTGATAGGCCACCCTCCCAGTGAAGAACCTTTTCCTAACATCCAGTCTGAACTTCCCCGACACGGCTTCATTCTACTTCCTCGTGGCCTATTGCTGGTCACCAGAGAGAGGAGACCAGCACTTCCCGCTCCACTGCCCACCTTGAGGAAGCTGTAGGCCATAGCTGTAGGCTGCAGTATGTATATCCCCCCCCGCCATTAACCTGTCAGTGTTAATGAGGTCCAACTTGCTTGACTGAGAGACATGCTATGCTTTCTTATGTGGTCAAGGACAACATAAAGCAAAGAGGGAAGATCCAGGAATGATTTACAGGTAGAATCGCAATTCCCAGGGATCGCACCATTAATTATGAATAGGACTGGAGTGGTATGTAGCTAGTCCAAGGCTAACTTGGCAGAGCCAGCCTTTGTTGCCACTAGTGGCTTGTTTCTTCTCTCCTATCCAGCAGTTCCAATGGGCTAGCTATGTCTGTCCTATGGAGGACAGAGAGCAGAATATGCTGATGTAGCTTCAGCAGCAAAGACACTCAGGTTGCACGTCTAACCCAATGAGACAGGTCTTTCACTTATCCACCAGCTGAGCTCCAAAGGGAGTTGCCAGCACTCAAAATTGTTGAAGGTGATACTTAGTTAGGGAGCTTTTTGCTGGGCTAAAATCGCAGTAGTTTAACCTTCTCGGGCTTCTCATACTTAATACATATTTCTTGCCATCTTCAGAGGGGCCCCACGTCCACGCCCTGCCCCAGTGGCTGGAGAGGCTGAAAACAAAGAGAACCATCATGAGGCAAACGCTATGAGTCAGCAGCCGCTTCGGCGTGGGTACAGGCGCCCATACAACTATCGGCGTCGGCCACGCCCACCCAATGCTCCGGCTCAGGATGGGAAAGAGGTAAGCATACTCCTGGCAAAATACAGCAGAATGTGAGATTTGCTGGGGGTGAATGAATGCTCAAGACTTTCTGTCCTGTGGGGGTTCTAACGAGTGCATCGTTATGGTGCTGGAGGAGTCTGAATGCCAAGTCTGAAGTGATGAAGTAGCTGGTTTCATTGCCTGTTCCATGTGAACTTCTTGGAAAACAAGCAGCTTATCTTAAATGGAACCAGAAGTGGAATAGGGATTGCTTCGGGATAGTTCTTAAAAGTATTTGTTACAGTCTGGTTCCAGTTAGAGAAACAGTTGTGTTTTTCCAGCCTCCTCATACCTTCAATCTGTATGTAGTGTAAGAGATGAACTCGAAAGCTCCAGATCCATTTCCTCAACTGCTTGAACAAGATAATTTTGGGGAACTGTTTGCAAACACAAATTTTAGCTTAATGAGGAAAGACTTCCTCTTTCTATATCTAATTGAGGTGGTCCCCTGGCAGAATCTGCTGTGTAATATTTAAACTTTAGTGTATATCTATATTTTCTGAGGATTAATCTTTGATTATTAAAGTTGAGTTCCACTGGCCCTACCACAGAACAGAGGAAGGGTCTGGAGGCCAGTCTTTGCCTATAACGGTTTATTGTATCTCAGACAAAGGTGACTGAAACACCTGCTGAAAATCCTGCTCCAGTGACTGAGCAAAGTGGTGCTGAGTAATGTCCGGCTCCCCAGGCACCTTTACCATCCCTCAGGTAAGTAAGGAATAGAGATGGTTCTCGTTCTCCAGCTGAAGCAGCACTGTGTGTACTTCTAGGACTTTGGACTCTGGCCACATCCCCTTATGTGTGACAGTGTAGCTGAGAACTCCTGGAAGTGCTGTATAGATGAACCAGAGAGAGCTGTTTGTTGCTTTCTCTGCTTTCATCTACCTCTCTTTGTCATAAAGTAAACTTTGCTTTATTGACCTGACGTTTCAGCAAGATCAAGCTAGTCTGTGTAGCAATAGCGTCTGCTGAAGAGTTGGTAATGTTTTGCTTTAGGAAAATACTGCACTCTTTGTTTACAGATGAGCATGACTGGCTTATCGTGTCCTGTCTGTTGTCATAACTCGTTCCCCACCTGACATCCTACCTTTTCAACAGGAAAATGAAACTTAAAGTGCTTTTTTTTTTTAAATTTGGCCCTTCAACAGGTGTCCAAAAATACAACTCAAAAGTAACACCAAAGAAACACTCCAGCAATAAATCATCAACTGTCATGATGAAAGCAAAGATTCAAAACATTGGAACTTTAAAAGAAAAAATATTACCACCAGCTGAGATCCAGGGAACGCCTGCAAGATTGATGCATGAAGAGAGAACAAGAGAGCGAGATTCAGGAAGAGCAACCTCCCCAGTTTCAACAGCAACTGTGGGTTTTTTTTTTTTATTTTTAGAACTTCACTGTTTTGCTAGTATTGAATTTTTCCATTTTTCTTTTGGTATCAAACTGAAAAGGGAAAAAACCCAACCAAAGAACTGAAATTGAAATGAATGCTTTTTATTATTGGATGCTGGTGCTAAACCTCCCAGGTGTGGTGAGTTGTTTTGGTTTGTTTTTTGTTTTTTTTTCTGTGCCAGTCCTGGTCACTGCAGGACACGGGGAGGAGAAACTTCCGCTTTCCTTGGTAAGATCCATTTGAAACTGCAGCATGGGTGACGTTCCTCACAAATAAAAGTGACTTCAACTACCAAAACAAACGGTTCTTGTGTGTTTGTTCACGCCTACCTTTTAAAATAATTCATTATTTTAATCTTGCTGCTTCAGCTTTTATATGTGAAAATGAGAGCTGCCTCTTTAATGTGTGTTGATGTATGTAGTCTAAAACCATGCTAGATGATAAATGTGCAATGAAATGACTAGGTCAGGTGCACCTGCTTCAATCCAAAACAACTTCTGCAAAGAAATTATACAGCAGAGCTGTAACTTACACCACCATCTCTGCTTCTCTGGCTCAAACACTATTAATGGTTGGGTTTTTCTCTTACCATCTTGTGGCAGGAGTTTGAGGGATTTGGAGTGGGTTAGTGGATATTTTCCCCATCTGTTTGCTGGTCTTTTGAGTTCCATAAGCAGTAAAATCCAAGCTTTGAGACTGCTGCTCAGAAAGACAAAAGTGGGCTTAGTAACTGCCACTCTATTCCAACTGTTGTTCCAGATACTGGCAGTACAGTTTGAGCCTCTTCACTTTTCTTTACTTGAAACCAGTAAAATCTTTGTAGCTGTACCATCTTCTCGTTAATGATCAAAGTACTTAACAGTCCTAATGTGTGTGTGTGTGTCGTGTTCCTCCCATTAATGTGGATGTCTTGCAAGTGTTATCAGTCTGCTTCCAGCTGTTGAATATGGGTGCATTTCTTCAGTTATCTTGTGTCCTTCATTCTCTACTCCAGTGCTTCTCGCATTCCTGTGTTGCTGTTATCCAAACCTTAGATAGTTGGTTGGGGTTTTTTTTCTCTCCTTAAAACACTTCATTCTGCTCTTAGCTGTGGGTCTTCACCCAGCCTCTACTTCATGTAAATTATGTTCATCTGGAGCAACGCTGTAACTGTACACAGCCAGGGCTAAATGGGAGTAGAAAGGTGCTTGGCAGGTACTTTCTCTGTCTCCTCTATTTTCCCTGTTCTTGCACACTGTTAATAATTACAAATTCTACAGGGTTCTCTGGAGATGCCTTCTCATGTTACTCCTTAGGAACTGAGAAGGGGGTTGGGGGGTGGAGCATGGGGGATAATTGCGCTTCAAAGCACTTTGCTTCCAGCTTCTGGGAAGGTGAGGAATGGCCCTTGCACTCTGCTGTTACCTTGGTAGGGGAAAGTTTAGTGGCACATGAGTTGCACTGGGATTTTCTGCTTGCTTTTGCAATGAACTAGGAACTTGTAACGAGGTGTAATGAAAGCTTCAGTCTGGGTTCAGGAAGGAGAATACTTCTGGCTCCCCGGAGTACACACACTGACGCGTTCACTGCAAGCTCATGTAGTGTAACCTGCCATCATAGCACTAGTCCCTTACCTGGCAGGTCTGAAAGCACATGGATGCAAGGATTGCTGAGTCTGAGCTGCAGCACTGAATCTGGTAAGTTCTGAAAGCACATGGATGCAAGGATGATTGATGAGCTGCAGCACTGAATCTGGTAAGCTGTACACTGGGAAAGATGTCGAGATGGACACAGAGGTGTTCTAATGTCTTTCCTTGGAAGATTAACAACATGGCTGTTTTGACACAGAATAAAATTTAATAAGGTGGGGAAAACCTAAGTAACGTACCTTTTAAATTCCTAAGCAGGGTAATCCTTAGTTCTGAACAAACCTGCAGCCTACTAAATCGGTTTCAGGCAGATTGGGGTGAGGCTGGCAGCTTCATCATAATATAAACAGATGTGATGCTCATGAATACTGAAACATTGCTGCAGAATTTGTCATAAAATCCACTTGACCTGCCTTCAGTTGTTCAGAAGTGTTATTCTTTAGTTAAGACACGACAGGCCAAACAGAATTTTCTTAAGTCTTAAAATATGTAGGTCAGATTGAGTCAGTTGAACAAAAGTACCTAACTAGCCATCCTAATTTTACAAAAGGAGAAATTGAGGGAGCAATGCAAGTAGGGTACTAGCATCTGGTTCTGTTACTTCAGTCCTACAAAAGGAGGAATTGAGGGAGCAATGCAAGTAGCATCTGGTTCTGTTACTTCAGTCCTGCCTCTGTCACAAGAATGATTTTTGCATGAAACAGAAGCTTGTGACTGACAAAACCCCTTCATCCCTGAATTCCTGGTTATGGAAAATACAGGCTCGACTCCAGCAAGTCTAAAGCACTTACAAAATCACACTTAAGATGCCTTGGACAGGGTATAACTTGTTCCCTTACTAGGCTGCTTGATCTCTAGTTAGCTGAACTTTGGCTAAAGGAGTAGAGAACTGTTGCTCAGTAACAAGGGTCAGTTCTCTTTAACCGTGGTGCTTGTGTACCTGCAAATAACCCTCAGCCTTATTTACCTTAAGCAGAACTTGTGGTGGGTGCTTAGTTTGTGTTGCTTTGGATTTTTTTTTTTTTAGGACTCTTAGCTTCTAGGATTTTGAATTTGTAGAGAAAGTAATGTGCTTTTATACTTACTTGGAGCCATTGTTTTTGTGCTATGTTTGTTCTCTCCTTCCAGCATTCTTCCCTTTCATGGTCACTTATGGCTTGTGCTGGGAGTGGATTACACTATCATAATGTAATCATTTTACAGTGTTTTCACAGTGCCCTGCCAGCCTGGCCATAACCAGACTTTTTGCTTGCAAAGGTTGCTGTTTCTTAGCTGCAAAATATTCCCTGTGGCATGTGATCTTTGAAGGAGGATAAAGAAGGGAAGAAGAAAGTTCTGTAGGTCTTGGTCTGTGCACTTGTTTCATTTAAACATCATAATCTGGCAACGACAAGATACTCACCGATTCAGAGAAACGTGCATCCTGTGAACTTGCACTGAACAGTGTTATGTGTGTGCAGCCCCTCCCACCCACTTCCCGTGGTGGACTGTACACAGGTAAAACAAATGCCTTGGAAGTGAAACAGACCTTTTGCTGCAGTTGGAAAAACTTTGGGAATAAAGTCTGTGCTGCATAGAATGTGATGTCACAGCCCTTACAGCAAGCTACGTGCATACTGCTTTCATGCAAGGGGCACGTGCTTTAGGCTCCCCCATGGAATACTGTAACGAGCTTGGATGTGAGCTGGATAGCAAGAGTTGTAATGACCCTAATAATGCTACAGCAGTGGGTTTCAAACTCTTCAGTTTGTAGATCTGTGGAAATTTCTGATGAAGATGGAAGGCTATGCAAGTCTGACAGTTATTTGTTGTGGCTTTTTAGAAAGTCAGTCTGTAGTTCCCAAGTTCAAAGCCATGGCCTTAGACATCATTATCCTCCCTGCTGCTTTGGCTTTTTGGAGAACCAGCTAGCCTTCAGCATTAGTGTGATTCTGTGGAAAGAAAGTGTATGCTCTGAGATGTTCAGACATATTAGGGAGGGGGGGAAATGGCCGCACAAGCCAAGCAGCAGTGGGATCCTTGTTCATACGTGAAGGAGGTGAGAAAGTTTTGGAGGCCATGTCAAACAAGTAGCAGCTTGTAGTCCTTGTTTTATGCTGTTGACGGTAGTGGAGTAATGCAGCTGTGATTTGATCTCAAGTCTTAGAGCTACAGTGATGCACTGAGCAGAAAATTGATCCAGATGACAATACCACCAGCTGATGAGATCCATAATTACTTCTAATACCTTAAGGTTTTAAAATGTGATAGGAAAGACATACAGAAAGCTGTTGCCGAGTTCAGCGCTTCATCCTGCTTCCTGACTACTGTCAAAATGCATCATTCTTCAATGCATAGCCATCAGTATGGAATTTTGACTTGTAAATTGTGACTTGCATAGGACCACATAGGTCCTTAGAATTAGTCAGGAGTTCTAAGGATGATTGGCCATGAAGTATGTGTCTGTAGTACAGAAAGAGGCCTGTTCTCAGGACAGGAGTGTGGGTTAAATGTGTGAGGGTCCATCCAGACTTAGGTAAGCAGCTTCTGTTAATGTCAGCCTAGAACTCAATTTCAGCTTCACCTCAAGGTCAAACTTACGCTGTTTTAACATACTAGGTAACAGCAAGCAGGTGGTAGGAGTCAAAATATGCTTTGTACAGTGTGCCTGTGATAGTCTTGTCTTGTTTCCAGAGGCTTAGAGGGACTGTTCTGTGGTTACTGCTCAGTCTGTTGGTCTAGCCAATTGTTCTCACTTGCATTACACAATACTCATGTTTTTGTTCATGACTCTAAAGTGCTGTTAACAGTTATTTAATGGCCTCTAAAACTTGCCCTTCTTAAAAAACATTCTGTGTAATGTAGTGCTGGTGTATATAACAAGCTGCATGTGAAATCCCAGCAATGTCACTGCCTCAGGTTGGTATCCCAAATGTGGCACAACAGCTTAAATGGCCACTAAATTAACCTGCTCTGACTAGTATCTCCACGTCTTTATTAGTCTGGCTTTCTATAAATGAGAAGATGCCTTGTGTCCTCTGTATTCATTATCTGACTTTCTGAGGAGCCAGAGGGAATCTTCTAGTTACCAGCAGAACTCAATCCATGTGTTAAACTACATGTCACTTCAAAACCTTGTAACCTGAGCAGATATTCCCTGGCAGCCAGTGGTGAAAGCCATGGTGAGGCTGGCTGTCCTGCAGCTCTCCACGCTGGAGCAGGGGGATGCCCAAAGAGGCTGTGACCCCGTGGGTGGCAGCCCATGCTGGAGCAGGCTCCTGGCAGGAGCTGTGGCCCTGTGGAGAGGAGACCAGGTTGGAGCGGGTTTGCTGGCAGGACCTGTGACCCTGGGGAAGCCCAGGCTGGAGCAGGCAGCTCCTGAAGGACT